CACTTTTATGTAAAAAGACGACTCTAGCTCCACAATTTTTTGGAGGTATATGCACGAAAAGGAAGGGGGATGAAGAAAATGGCTGGTGTTTGAAGGAAGTGTTATGTCATTTTTGCAACATTTCTCATTGACTACTGTTTGAAGAAGAAGCTTCCCACTTATTGCTTTTTAAATCAAAAAAATTTCCTTATTTCCTCTTCAGCTACCATAGTATCAAAAACCACCATCACTTCTTGCAAAGCCTTAGTTAAAACCACTATAACTTTTGTTCTCTTGTCTCTGGAGTATCGAACCTATGTATGAAAGCATCAGCTTCCACGTAATTGCCTTGCACGAGACAAAGTCTAGAAAGACAGTCCGGACGTGAGACAGCTAATTGGTGGTCACACATCATTCGGTTGAGAAAGACCCATCACGGAAGGAAGAAGTAGAATTTGTTAGACATTCACCCGTCGTTTCTCTTGTCAATCCGCCCGAGATTTATCGCTTCATCTGGCCATCCTTCGATTCTGTCTTTCAAAGAGACCATCACCATCATGAACTGCTCCCAATATCAGCAGCTAGTGAGCCGGAGGAAAGCTTTTACGAGAATTCGGAAGAAATTTGCAGGGAGAGTTTGACTTTTATTGTGGTGGTGACTTCAACGCGAAAAATCTCCCCTCTTTCCCCCCACCCCTGTCTCCCCTCCCTTTCGCCCTCCCCCCTCTACCTCCATGGAAACTCCATTTTCAAAAGAAAGAGCACCTGTAGTAAGCTAGGGGTCGCCCAACGGTACGATCACAAAGAGATCGACCACATTCTCACGAAAAGGTGGTGTGTACGGGAAGTCTCGAAAGGATCCTCTCTCTGCAGTGTTTCAGATCACGGCCTTCTTCAAGCGAAAGGTGCATCATTCGAAAGGAGGAAAAGAGGGTCCGTCACTTGCAGAAAGAAGAGATCCTATGATGGCGTCAAATTGGCGAAGCTCGTGAACTATGAGAGCACTCAACGAGTGACGACGTGCTTTTCAAAAAACCGAGGGTGTAATGAAAGCATTTCAACCTCAACAGCGATACTGGAACGCATTTCGAAAGGTCGAAATTTGCTTGCAAGAAGGAAAGCATTTACTTACTTAGATACCAAGAAGGAAAGCATTTACTTACTTAGATACTTAGATGGTCTGTCTTCACTCGTCGTGCAGGCCAAAGCATTGTTTCCATCCGTTTCTGTCTCTCGCTAGCGTCATCCACGATGCTGGTATTGAATTGCGGCGGCGACGTTTGCGAGGTCCAGATTCATTACTCGTTACCAGCTGAGAATTCAGCTGGTTCATCCGTACCACAAACACGTCAGCCCATCTGGTCGGTGGCCTCCCTCGAGGACGTTTTACTTCGCGAGAGATCCATTCCAGAG